GGGGTTCCCCAAAGGCTGGCGCTGAGATCCTGATTTAACCTCTCATTTATGGTGGTAATTCTCTCGAGAACAAGATCTGTTCTTCCTGACTTGGTGATGCGTTTGTGTATTTGCTTTTCTATGGAGATTATACAAGCTGTGTGTGGCACAGTTGAGCTCCTGTATCAGTAACAGAGGCACCTTAATGAAGCTGGATTCACTAATAAAGGGTGTCACAAGGGTGGACATATAGTTTACTTGGGAACTCATTTATGACCTCATGTTTTGTAGTAGCAATGCATAATATAGCTGTTGTCGTGACAAAACCTCGTATCTTCAAAATGAGAAGGAAAAAAACTACTGTACTTTTAATATAAATTTATGGAACCAGACTTTTTTTCCAAGTAATTTTGGGACGTTTCTTTTGGTCCATTCTTCATTAAATTTACACACAATGTAAAGGGCAACAAATTATGCCAAAAACTGAAAAACGTCAAAAGTGGAGGTAAGAGGTTTTCTTCCGACAGCAGTGATATACTTATTGCAAAAATGTCGCATTTTACATTCCTGTTAAAAATAAAATTGGAATTTTTCCTGAACTGGCCAGTACATTTTCACCATTTTCCTGAAATGAAATGCAACCCTAGTGTTTAAGTATGCATGTGTCTATTTACCGGCATGTTGAAATATGAACCTTTTGTGGTTGTGGGGACATTTGGCTGCTCTTTTTTGCTTTTTTCTCCCAAAATGAGGTCAAAACTGATCTTTTGGCCTGACTTGATTCTGCATGTGTGTGTTTGTATTCTGACTAATTTTGTCAGATACAGCTAACCTTCAGAATGCAGTCACAAGTTGTTTTCTCCTCAGTGGATGATGTGCTCACATGTTTTTAATCAGAGAAATATGTCGCTGCTGTTGGAACAAAACCTTATATCTCCAGTTTTGCCAATTTTCAGTTTTTGACACACTTTGAAAATGCCTGTTGCTCTTTACATTGTGTGTAAATTTCATGATGGACCAAAAGAAACGGCCCAAAATGACTTGGAAAAAGTCTGGTTCCATTGACTTACATTAAAGGTAAAGTAGGTTTTTTCCTTCTCCTGTAAAGTTACCATTTTGGAGATATAAGATTTTGCTCCAACAGCAGCGATATTTTCATTGTTGCTGCATCAGCTAGAGGAGTTGGCCTGGTTGGCCCAAAGTTTGTGAGCACTTGCTCATCTAATATTTCTTCCAAAATCAAGAGTATTAAAAAGGAGTTTGTCCCTTTTTACTGCAGTGATGCCCTCTGCTTTTCTGGGAAGGCTTTACACTAGATGTTGAACATTGCTGTGAGGATCTGATTGAGCATTAGTGCATTGAGCATTACTGATGTTGGATGGTCAGTTCTGGATCACTCCAACTCATCCTGAATGGAGCTCCATCACTCCAGAGAACACAGTTTCACTGCTCCACAGCCCAATGCTGGGGGGCTTTAGACCCCTCTAGCCCACACTTGGCATTGGGCATGGTGACCTTAGGCTCATGTGCTGCTGGTCCAGAGCATTTCGTTCTACTGGTCAGTGCTTTTCTATGGAGATTATGCAAGCAGTGTGTGCAATTGGATTGTGTCAGTAATAGATGCACCTTAATGAAGCTGAACTCACTAATTAGAAGGGGTGTCCACAAACGTTTTGACATACAGTGTGCTTGGCAATGTGTTTATGTCCAGGCACTCATGTTTTGTAGTAGCGAATAATAAAATCCTTGCTTGCAAAATGTCACATTTTACGGTCCTGTTAAAACATAAAATTGGCATTTTACTGAATTGACCAGTACATTTTCACTGTCTTCCCATAATGAAATGTAACCCTAGTGTTTATGGGGGTATTTAGCTATTTGTAGCCACCAAATCCCCCAGGATGTTGACAATATGAGCATTTTGTGGTTGTGGGGACATTTGGCTGCTCTTTTTGCTTTTGTCTCCAAAAAAAACCTTACTGAGGTCAAACCCGGCCTTTTGGCTACTGAGGTTAAGGTTAAGGTTGGGCTTGGTTTGGTGGAGCACAGCAGCATTTACACTCATACAGAAGACCATGGAAACACCACACACACCAACACACACACTTACGTCTGTCTCGTCCCACACAGACACCTCCTCTGCGTCGGAGGATGAGGGATCGCTACGGCGACAGGGACGGATGGCCACATCATCTCCATACCAGCCGCACCCCACAGTGGAACACTGGTTTAACCGGGTCATCCAGGGCTCCTCCACTTCCTCCTCTGCTTCTTCCACGTCCTCCCATCCTGGGGGGCGGAGCCACAGCGCCAACGCAACCTCCGGCTCTGCTGCTACCGTTCTGGCTGACCTCATGGCTCACACACAGCTCGGTTAGTACCTCGCTCACTTCTGATCACGCATACACCCCATATAGCCTTAACGCCCGATATTGATACAGTTCATACGGTTATATAAATGAGGCATTGAGTGTATATATTGTGTTAAGGGTACAGTCTGTAACACCTTCTATACCCTCTATACCATATTCACATCATGTATTCTTCCTGTACCCCGTACAGGGTATGTCCTATGTCCTGTATACCCCATAAACCCATAACACCTTCAGCTCTCTCTATACCCCATATACCTTAAAAATCCTGTATAGTCCCTATATCCTGTATACCCTTAACATTGTATGTTCTTTCTACACCCATATACACTCATAGACTCCTTACACCACATACCTTTAAGAATGCTTGTATCACCTATACCCCATATACCCTGTATACCCCATGTACTTCTTATACCCTGTACCAGCTACTCCCTGTATACCTCTCTATATACCTCCTAGACCATATATACCACCCACTCCTCGTAAACCTCCGAAACCCTATGTGCCACCTATTGCCCATATACCCATTATAAGTCCTAGACCCTACACAACAACTACTCCCCATTTACCCCATATACATCCTAGACCCTATATATCACTTACTTCCCACTAAGCCATATACCTCCTAGACCCTGTATACCACCTACTCCCCATATACTCTATATACCTTCTAGACCCTGTATACCACCTACTCCCCATATACCCCATATACCTCCTAGACCCTCTATACCACCTACTCCCCATATACCTTCTAGACCCTGTATAACAGCCACTCCTTATATACCCCATGGACTTCCTAAACCCTATATGCCACATACTCCCCACATACCATGCATACCTCCTAGACCCGGTATACTCTGTACACCCCCTATAATCCATATACCCACTTAATAGCCCATTTATCCAACACACCCCATAAACTTTGATACTACTTTCTTTATACCCCATACACTAAAGATATCTCCTAGACCCACCTACTCCACATATACATATACTCCATATACACCATATACCCCGGATCCCACATACACCTTACAGCCCCTAGACTCCAAACAGCCCCTACTCCAGACTCTTTGCTCAGATTTCTTGCTTTTTTTCTTTTCTATCCCTTCAGTAAGTCCTGTGCGTCATTAGCTGCTGGTATGTTTCTCCTGGTTCTCTGTGTTGATTTATCTACTGATCCATGGACTTTTCTGGCTCCGATACTCTCACCGCTGGCTATGTTCCTCTCAAAGCCTGACAAAAGACCCAGAGAGCAGGTTTCACTCCTGCACCACATGGTCCTTCTTTAATTGGGCCTCTTTTTGACATCTCCCTGACAGTTTTGTGAAGTGTTCCAGCTCCTGTTGACGAGCTGTGTGTTTTTGTCCTGCGTGTGTAGAGAGGCCTTGAATTGTGAATGGGATTCAGCCAGTGTTGCCTCCGGCTCCTCGCTCTCTCGCCGGGCTCTGCTCTCACAGCTTTGCTTATCAAATGTGATGCTGCAGTTTTCTCACTCCCTCTTTTCCCCAATATCACTTTCTGTTTGCCTCTCTCGCTATCTCTCCGTCCCTATCTCTCCCCTTTTCTGCTTCTGTCTTCTTTTTCTCACTCTATTTTTAACTGTCTCCTCCATTCTCCTCCTCTGTTTCTCTTTCACTGTCTTTTTGCACATCTTATCTCTCTCTCTCTTTCTCTCTCTCTCTCTCTCTCTCTCTCTTTCTCGCTCTCTCTCTCTCTCTCTCTCTCTCCCCCTCTCACCCCTAAGGTCACTCTCATTGTATCTCTGTGCTGTCTCTGTAAATAAGCTCTCAATTCACTCAGTGCCTCTGCTGGTGCCCTCAGTAAAGCCAGACTCGAGTCTGTTTATCATTAGGTTCCACTGTTCACCACTACTGTAGAAATCATCCCCTGGTTGATGCTTTTATTTGCTGTTTTTCAGTCTGCTGGATCAGTTAAAAGTATTAAAAATAAAAAAGGTAGTATTTGTTATTATTATTATTATTATTATTATTAATGATAATCATAATGATATTGACTAGAAAATTGCATTTCCTGAAGAAAATGCAGAATAACTGCACAGCTGTGCAGATGGTTACTAGGTGGTTGCTAATGGTATCCAAAGTGGTTTATAAGGTGTTGCTAGGTAGTTTCTGTGGTAACCCAAGTGATTGCTAAGGTTTTGCTAGGAGATTGCTGTGGTATCCTAGTTGGTTGCTATGGTGTCCAATGTGGTTGCTAAGGTGTTGCTAGGTAGATTCTGTGGTAACCCAAGTGGTTGCTAAGGTGTTGCTAGGAGATTGCTATGGTGTCCTAGTTGGTTGCTATGATATCCAAAGTAGTTGCTATGGTGTTGCTAGGTAGTTTCTGTGGTAACCCAAGTGGTTGCTAAGGTGTTGTTAGGAGATTGCTGTGGTATCCTAGTTGGTTGCTATGGTGTCCAATGTGGTTGCTAAGGTGTTGCTAGGTAGATTCTGTGGTAACCCATGTGGTTGCTAAGGTGTTGCTAGGAGATTGCTGTGGTATCCTAGTTGGTTGCTAGGTGGTTGCTATAGTATCCTAAGTGGTTGCTAAGGTGTCGCTAGATAGTTTCTGTGGTAACCCAAGTGGTTGCTAAGGTGTTGCTAGGAGATTGCTGTGGTATCCTAGTTGGTTGCTAGGTGGTTGCTATAGTATCCTAAGTGGTTGCTAAGGTGTCGCTAGATAGTTTCTGTGGTAACCCAAGTGGTTGCTAGGTGTTGCTAGGAGATTGCTGTGGTATCCTAGTTGGTTGCTAGGTGGTTGCTATAGTATCCTAAGTGGTTGCTAAGGTGTCGCTAGATAGTTTCTGTGGTAACCCAAGTGGTTGCTAAGGTGTTGCTAGGAGATTGCTGTGGTATCCTAGTTGGTTGCTAGGTGGTTGCTATAGTATCCTAAGTGGTTGCTAAGGTGTCGCTAGATAGTTTCTGTGGTAACCCAAGTGGTTGCTAAGGTGTTGCTAGGAGATTGCTGTGGTATCCTAGTTGGTTGCTAGGTGGTTGCTATAGTATCCTAAGTGGTTGCTAAGGTGTCGCTAGATAGTTTCTGTGGTAACCCAAGTGGTTGCTAAGGTGTTGCTAGGAGATTGCTGTGGTATCCTAGTTGGTTGCTAGGTGGTTGCTATAGTATCCTAAGTGGTTGCTAAGGTGTTGCTAGATAGTTTCTGTGGTAACCCAAGTGGTTGCTAAGGTGTTGCTAGGAGATTGCTGTGGTATCCTAGTTGGTTGCTGTGATGTCCAAAGTGGTTGCTAAGGTGTTGCGAGGTAGTTTCTGTGTTTACCCATGTAGTTCTAAGGTGTTGCTAGGAGATTCCTATGTTATCTTAGTTGGTTGCTAGGCGGTTGCCATTGTATCCCCGGTGGTTGCTAGGATGTTGCTAGAAAGACCGAACATTCCAGAGTTGGAACAGTGTTGGTATCTCGAAAACTGTGGGACGGGTTTATTTTGTATTAATGATCATTCTGTTTCACGTTTCTCCTAGCATGATTAAAATGTGTTATCCAGAAACATACGCTTTATAAACTACACCCTGTGTATTTTTTCTATTTTAGTTGTTTAGCCCCAGAAATCGACCCTGCGCTCTTTTAGTTCTATTTCTTTATTCTTACAGTATTAAAAGTTTTGAAGGCAATATTTCTCTGTTAGCCTGCTGTTATTGTGATCTATGTGGCTAGATTAATTTTGTCCGGTCCTGATGCCCCCTACTTGTACGGAGATTCCTTCAAGAGCCAAATTTATTGCAGAAAGCGCAGTGCCTTGTGATGCTTCTAGGATAGGATGAGCGCGATATCAAGTAGAACCATAATGGCTACTTAAAAATTAACTTTAAAGGCTGAACATACACAGAAGAATTAAACATAGTGTAAATGAAATATAGTAAATGTAGCAGCTATACTGTATAGTCATGAATCAAAGATAGATATAGAAAAAATGACATCAGTGACAAATGGAAAAATGATACAGACACAATAAAAATCCTGCAAGTAAGGCTGGCTTTGCATGCTGAAACTTTCACACAACTTTAGTTGCTTGAAACCTACATAAGTTGAATGTATCACAATTCTTCTTTAGCCTGCTGTCCACAATGAACTTGTGCTTCTTGGAAAGAATGAGTGAGACATAAAATAGCCTATAACTGTAATGGCTGCTTAACCATGTATTTTCAAAGGCTTTACATACACACAACAAAAAAAATATATAGTTAAAAAAACATAGATAAAAGATATAAAGATTTAAAAAAGAATGTTAGTTGGACAAAAATATACAAAAAGGATTAAAATCCTGCAAATAAGTAAATTACACAATACAGTGTGTCAAAAAAATACAAGCTGCTAATTTGGCTAACTAGTAGAGTAACTGAATGTGTTGTGTGCAACTTAGATTTTTTTTTAATTGCTTTGTGTTACTGTCAAGTTGAAAAGAAGTTATGTTGCAGATATTTCACAATATGCAACTAGTTGCATGAAAGTTACACCCCATAAAGCCAGCCTAACACATCGCAGATGACTTTACATAGCGAGGACAATTTAGTTAAACAAATATATGCTGCTCATTTGGCTCACTAGTTGAGTAGTCATGTGTTGCGTGCAATTTTTGATTGTTTTGTGAATTGCTTCATGTGATTGTGAAGTTGCACAGAGTTGGTTGCATGCAACTCACAACATGCAACTAGTTGCATTAAAGTTTCACCATAAAAAATGCCAGCTTTAGTTTCATGTGAGTTTCAAGCAACCAAAGTTGCATGAAGGTAATGAGTTGCTGTTGATCATAGTTAGGGACAATATACACAGCGTTCCTATAGGAGACAAAACACTTTATCAGACTTGCTTTCATCACTTAGCTTGTCTGTCTGGTCACCACAACAAACCGCTGGTGTAAACATTGTGGCTCAGGTAGCATAAGTATGCTCAACATGGCTGTTTAGTAACATATTTTTATTTTCACAGTATATATTTATTTATTTATTATTATTCAACCCACACGTTTGACGTTTGACCCCCTCCCTCAATCCCAGATAACCACTGTGCTCCCCCGGATGTGACGGGTCTGTCTGAGCGCTCGCTGCATGCAGAGCGTCCACAGGTAGCGTCGGTCAGAGGACTCCCTCGCGGATACACACACACCAGCAGCACCATGGAAACGGCTGACGGTGAGTGGCCACATCACACCCTGTAACCACGGCAACTGAGCACTTTCCCCCTCTGTGACACACGCATGCATCGCAGCCAATCGGCTCTCGGCAAGGAAAAACTTTCACTTCCTGTCAGCAACAGGACCTCATTTCAAACTCATTCACTGCGTCCACTGTGTGACTCAGACCACTCACATCACAAACGTCTCAACAGGTGAATGTAAGCAATAAATCATTTATTAATCTTTCTTCTTACTTCAAATAGTCTTGCTCTAAATTAAAGGGCAATTCTACCGTTTTTCAGCCTACTGCAGCTCTTTACTTAAATAAACAATGACCAGAGCAGGCCACAGGTCAGGAGGCCACTGTACATTAAATAAAGCAATGACATCATCATTACTATCATTTCACTGATAAATGCTAAAGGAGAGCTTGAATGATTTTTCATAATTTCAGTGTAATTCAGTGTTTGAGGTGTAAACAGAGAGATTCAGAGTGGTCTGGTGTGAAATGGCTGATTTCTTTACGGTGGTGGTGATAGGAACCAGGGGTCGCCATGACTACAACACAGATATAGACATTTTATTTACTATCGAAACCCACCAGTGAACCTACACGAGTCTTCTGAGTTTATATGGAATGTTGATCATGGTAAAGAAGGGGTAAATTATGAAGAAATACATTTTATTTGGGGATTCTTTTTGCCTTACAGTGCCCTACATATTCCCCTCCACCATGAATTCATATTAAAATTGCATTTTTAAAAGCCTTATTTCAAAATGTAATAAAAAACTGACTCAGACACCAGGCAGCATTGGACTCCTGGTTCCTATCACCACCACTGAGAAGAATTCTGACACCAAACCACTCTGAATGACTTTGTTTACATCTGAATGATTTCATCATGCAGAAGCTTAGAAAAAATCTGTGGAATTCCTCTTTAAGTGTGTGTGTGTGTGTGTGTGTGTAAGCAGGGTGCTGGTGGTGTGTTGAGTTAATGAGAGTAATACTCATCATTAATAAGTTTTCATTTTGGTGTCATTTTATTGTGCAGCTTTACACTGTGTGAAGAGAGACAGACTGGGAGAGATCTAACACTTTACAGAGCTATTATTGTTGTTTTGCTCTTTATAATTAATTATGTACTTTTACAACTGTAATTACATACTAATGTAATTGTATAGGATTGAACATTTACATCCTCAAAAACACAGCTAAATGCTTGAATAGGAGATATTAGTCCATAAACAACCTCAATGAACACTCCTGTACACTAGAAAAGGACATATTAGTCCATAAACAGCTTCAATAAACACATCTATACACTAGAATAGGAGATATTGGTCCATAAACAACCTCAATAAACACTCCTGTACACTAGAATAGGAGATTTTAGTCCATAAACAACCTCAATAAACACTCCTTTACACTAGAATAGGAGATATTAGTCCATAAACAACCTCAATAAACACTCCTATACACTAGAATAGGAGATATTGGTCCATAAACAACCTCAATAAACACTCCTATACACTAGAATAGGAGATATTGGTCCATAAACAACCTCAATAAACACTCCTATACACTAGGAGATATCAGTCCATAAACAACCTCAATAAACACTCCTATACACTAGAATAGGAGATATTGGTCCATAAACAACCTCAATAAACACTCCTATACACTAGAATAGGAGATATTGGTCCATAAACAACCTCAATAAACACTCCTATACACTAGAATAGGAGATATTGGTCCATAAACAACCTCAATAAACACTCCTATACACTAGAATAGGAGATTTTAGTCCATAAACAACCTCAATAAACACTCCTGTACACTAGAATAGGAGATATTACTCCACAAACAACCTCAGTGAACACTCCTATATACTAGAATAGGAGCCATAACTCTATAAATGACTTTAATAAACACTACTATACACAAGAATAGGCGATATTAGTCCATAAATAACCTAAATAAACGCTCTTAGACACTAGGAGATATTAGTTCATAAATAACTTCAATAAACACTCCTATACACTAGAATAGCCAATATAACTCCATGAACAACTACTATATCAGTCCATGAATAATCTCAGTAAACATTATATATACTAGACACGCTACATATAGTAGATACTATGTGCTAAATAAATACTCCTAAAGGCTAGAATAGGTGATATTAGTCCAATAACAACAACTGTACACTGGAATAAGCAACATTAATCCATAAATGACCTCACTAAACTCTCCTGTGGCTGAGTAAACCCCCCCGTACACTAGAAAGGGAGATATATTCAGGGCAGGGGGGGATCCGCTGTATTAGCATAACGCCTCAGGCTAAAATCTCACAAATCTCCCTGAATATCGTTGTGTTCATTCACACTTTCTCTCCTTCAGGTAGTGATGGAGGTGATGGCGGAGCCGTGGATGGTATTTATACTCGTTTATTAAATCTCCCTCCTTCCCTCTTTCCCTCCAGTGTTCCTGTGCCTGTGTGCCTCCCTCACTTTCACCTTTACACTGCCGGTCCAGGTGACCCCGGGCTTGGCACGGTTTCGTCTTTCCTGTTCTGTCACAGCTAACGGCTAATTATCAAGCTCTTCATGAGCTGAGGAAGGTGTGTTAGAGCAGGAGAACACGTACTGCTTTGGGGACAATTCTTAAAAAATTTCCAAATAAAAATCATTTTGATTTTGCAATTAATTAAGGGAAAATACTTGCGAGGCATTTGTTAGCGTAAAGCAGCTCTGTGCTAATGCTTTATATATTTAGCTCCAGCACTCAGCTTTGTGTTCATCACAGTGTCTTTCTTGGTTCACTGGAAAAAATGATGCATTGAATTTGCTTGATTCAAAGGTGTGCCTCATTTGCATATGGATAAAATATATTACACTGTTATTGCCAGAGGTGAGTAAACCGAATGATAAGGTTGTGTTGATATAACATGTTTTATTTACATGTTTGAGTAAATTCAATGCATCACTTTACAGCAACGAGTAGTTTGTAGCTTAAATAGTGATCTGGAGCAACTCTGCGTTGACCCAGTCGTCAGGAAATCGCGAGTTTGACCCCAGGTGATGCCACAGCCTTCCGTCCAGTCCTCGCTCTCTCTGGGTGGGTAGGATGGTCCTCCCTCTTACCCCAACACTCAGTGCGTTGCTAGCCAGCTCAGGTGTCTGTTATCTGACATAACAGCAGTTAGTGTTCTCCTCCAAAAGTGTTGAACTGTACAATACCGTTGTGTTAGTGGCACTTTGAAAGGATGTGGTGGAGCGTCACATGACCCAGAGGAAGAACGTGCTAGCCTTCACCCTTCCAGCTTGGTACCATCATGTAATATGGGGAAATCTAGCTAACAAATGGAAACTGGTCACAAAAAAAAAAATAAAAATACTGATTTGACAGTTTTCTTTTCTAAAAATATTGTTAAAAGCACAGATTTAAACTCTCATTGTATGTTTAAGTAAATCCAATGAATCACATTTCAGCAACGAGTAGTTTGTAGCTTAAATAGTGATCTGGAGTAACTATGCGTTGACCCAGTTGTCAGGAGATCGCGAGTTTGACCCCAGGTGATGCCACAGCCCTCGGTAAGCAGGAGTCCAAGAGATCATAATAGTCCTTGCTCTCTCTTTGTGGGTACCCCAACGCCTAATTGCCCACTGAGTGTTACCCCAACACTCAGTGGTCAATTAGTGCTCTCCTCCAAATAGTTGAGATGTACAATGACGTTATGTTAGCAGCAGTTTGAAAGGATGTGGTGGAGCTTCACACGACCCAGAGGAAGAACGTGCTAGCCTTCACCTTCCCAGCTTGGTACCATCCTATAATATGGGGACATCTAGCTAAAAGATAGAAACTCATCACAATAAATTCATAAAATAACGGTTTGACCGTTTTCTAAAATGTTGGTAAAAGCACACATTAAAACTGTCACCACAATATTTACATGTGAAGTTGTTTTCCTGTCAGTAAACCTGCTGATGCTTTAATATGTTAAGTCACTGTAAACCGAACAAAGTTCAAAAGCATCTTGAAAAGCAAGGTTTCCAGACATTATTAATGCGCGTAGCTTGGGGTCCAGGACTGAGCGCGTGTATTCACTCCACACTACACAAGTGGTAGTGTTGTTTTGAACTGATAGTGCTGAGATGGACAGTGTTTAAAGGATGTGTGTTCCTGCTACTGAGAGCTGATTGGTTAGCATTACTGCTACTGAGTGCTGATTGGTTAGCATTACTGCTACTGAGCGCTGATTGGTTAGCATTACTGCTACTGAGTGCTGATTGGTTAGCATTACTGCTACTGAGCGCTGATTGGTTAGCATTACTGCTACTCAGTGCTGATTGGTTAGCATTACTGCTGCTAAGTGCTGATTGGTTTGCATTACTGCTACTGAGCGCTGATTGGTTGGCATTACTGCTACTGAGCGCTGACTGATTGGCGTTACTGCTACTGAGTGCTGATTGTTTGGCATTACTGCTGCTAAGCGCTGATTGGTTAGCCTTACTGCTACTGAGTGCTGATTGATTGGCATTACTGCTACTGAGTGCTGATTGGTTGGCATTACTGCTACTGAGCGCTGATTGGTTGGCATTACTGCTACTGAGCACTGATTTGTTAGCATTACTGCTACTGAGTGCTGATTTGGTTAGCATTACTGCTACTGAGTGCTGATAGGTTAGCATTACTGCTGCTGAGCGCTGATTGGTTAGAATTACTGCTACTGAGCGCTGACTGGTTTGCATTTCTGCTACTGAGTGCTGATTATTTGGCATTACTGCTACTGAGTGCTGATTGGTTGGCATTACAGCTACTGAGTGCTGATTGGTTGGCATTACTGCTACTGAGTGCTGATTGGTTGGCATTACAGCTACTGAGTGCTGATTGGTTGGCATTACAGCTACTGAGTGCTGATTGGTTGGCATTACAGCTACTGAGTGCTGATTGGTTGGCATTACTGCTACTGAGTGCTGATTATTTGGCATTACAGCTACTGAGTGCTGATTGGT